TCATCTTCCTCAGGTAGAGATTGTGGTGTTTTTTTTTTTTTTTTTTTTTTTTTTTGTGGGGGGGGGGGGGGGGGGGGTGTTGTGTGTGTGTTTTTTGTGTTGTTTTTTGTTTTGTCTGTTTTGTTTCAGTTTGTTTTTTGTTTCAGTTCATTTTGTTTTGTTTTGTTCCATTTAATTTTGTTTTGTTTTGGACCAAGTATTTTGCCCAGCAGTGTAGATTAGTGTAGTGTTCCATTAACAGCCAGCAATCCATCTGAATGCAGTTTCATAATTACAGAATGCTATAGGCATTAACTGGAATCTTTGCGGCCATTCACTAATCAAAATTTACACTTTTGCCAGTTCAAAGCGGTGCTCTATTGTCTGCGAGGAGCAGAGAGCATTCAGAGAGGTAAGAGATAACATCAGATTTTATGACAAGAAAAACGGGCGCAAGAGGTTCCATCAATATTTCAGAAATGACAAGAATTTCACATTTACAAATCCTGCTAATCCAGCCTCTCATCTGATGTCATTCGGTAAACTAATCTATACAGTATGTATCATTTTTCTTTCTATGCATATGTTACTTTGTGTTTGTAGTGTTTTGGAGGGGATTATTATTATTATTTAAGTATACCAATGTCACTAAATGATAAAAACTGTATTAGAAACAGTTTTTTGATAGTGCCATATTTTCTTAATAATAACTGGGGCCAAGATAGACGTCTAGAATGGTTATAAGTGAGTTACACTGTACAAATGAACCCTTAATAATAGATGACATTAAAACCTTAAAAATTAGTGTTTTTGCTCTAAATACATTAGTTAATGTGATAACTTGTGCTAATTTATTTTTGTGCCTTTTATTTGTCGCTGTCGGTATACTCCTCTATGCACACAGTAAACGTTGGACTCAGCGATGTTGATATTTTTTAACCTCTTGTGTAAATCGCATTTTGTTTGTAAGCATCATACTCCACAAAGATGCAATTTCATATTCCTGCATGTCGCGTTATTGAATTAGCAATCTGCAATCAGTCATTATATATATTTTTTACCCTCATGCCAATTTGTTTTGGACATTTATATTGCAAAACAATAGACATTAACTCTGAAGTTCTGTATCGGGTGCTTCCAAGAGTAGAATATGAACAGAGTGGCCAAACTCCATGTATATTTCTCAAAACGCGTTATTGTTTTGCATCTACCTCTGAGCAGTTGCTTGTGTATGTTATTTTAGTCTCTTGATTTGAGACTTTTATTGAAGATGTTTTAATCCTGTCGTGAATGTTATTTAAGTGGGTTTCCGTGTATTTGTGTTTCTCCCTTTTAATTTTTTTCTAAACGCGTCATCCGTTCACCTGGGCCGCTCTGAGGTCAGCCAAAGCTGCAAAACACACATAGTTGAAGAAAATGGTGTCTGTCGCTGCAACTACATTTGCATACATGTAGAATTTGTACCTCGACCAGTATTTTTGTTGTTCTGTTGATTTACATCAAATACTTTACTTTGTAATAGACTAATGGTCATGAAATAAAGATTGTTATATTTATGTTAACAGATTTCTTGATCACTGCCTCAGTTTGTTTTAGTATTATGTTTTAGTTCTTATGCTACCAACAATGTACCATGGTTTTTGGACATGCTCCATAGAAGCAGAGTTATTATAATTAACTAAAAACAAAAGCAAAACTAAAACCATAAAAAAAAAAATTTAAAAAAAGGGAAATAAAAATTAATAACTACACAGACACATTAAAAAATACATAAACAAAATTACTAAAACTTTTAACTAAAAGAGAAAATATATGAAAATTGGTATATCAATGGTACTAAAATAACGCCAGTACTGTGATTTCCCATGAAGTGCATTTTGGAGCAACATATATACTAATATAAGCAGTAAATATTCTCTTTATTAAGTCACATTTGGAATTTCATGACCCATTAAGTATTTTATAAGAACTCTATTACTGTGCTTCTTATAAATGAACAGTGTGTATCTTTCACACAGTATTTGACTAATGAATCCTTTCTGTTGTGGAGCAGTTAATGTGGGCCTTAAAGCCTCCAAACCCTAACCAACCTAACAGTGTTTGGTGTGACCTTTCTGAATACAGTGGCCTTTAAATCCAAATTAAATCCATGCGCTTATTCAACAGTTACTGCAAAACTGTTGTCACCTTGAACAAAACTGAAACTCGTGTTTAAAAACTGCATATAACATATACTGTGACATTATTTTCATTTTCTCACAAAATTAGTATTACCATAATTCTCAATTCTGTAATGCATCCTATTCCTGCTTTTTAAATGAAAAAGCATCATAGTTAACTGAAACAATAAAAAGATGAAATAAAAGAAATATATCTAAAAAATATAACTAAAACTGAAATAAAAATTATATAGACATTTAAAAGAAAAAATAACATTAAAAAAACTGATAATGACTAAAACACAACAAAATTGCTAATGAAAATTAAAATAAAAAAAATAAAAAAATATATATATATAATTACTAATAATTGCTAAAATGAAAATTGAAAATATAAACAAATATAAAATATATCTTAATTATACTAAAACAACACTGATCAGAATAAATAAAAAAATCAGTAATGATGTCTTTCCAAAAATACTTGTAATAAATGTATATTAAATATATATATTTTTTGTAACAGTAATAACATTTTTCATACATTTTATTAAAATATCACACTACAAAAATAATTAGGCTTATATTTAGATTTAGATGTAAATTAAAAAAATGTAATATGATGCATATTTGTCAGTTGTACATAAATGAAACTGGAAAGAAACAGGAAGATTTTTTCAATTAAATGTATTATTTTTATAGTTAAAAAGTACATTATACATTATGTTTAATGTGTTTAAAATACTTTCACCATGCAACAAAAAAAGTGGTCCTTCATATTCTTTGTGCAAAATATAATATCTTATTTTTTTTCTTTATATTTTCTGTTATTGTTCATTTCCAGTGTGTTTTAACATACCTTCAGAGGACACTGCGTGTGTGTGTGAGTGAATTTTCACGCTGAATGAGTGTCAGCTGACTTTGGTCACAGGACTTTAGGCAGAGCATCACACAAAATCATTCAGATTTTAGAGGCACTAACCCACTCTAACCACCTCTGATCTATCTCTTTATATTTCTGCGTTTGTGAACATTCATTTCTGTGTAACTAATTCAGCTTCACCAGACGATGTTGATGATTTACTTTTGTGATGCTGAGTCTCAGCTGAACTGACGTCCCCTTATTTGTTTGCATGAGGAAATAAGCGTGTTCTGAGTCTTGTTTGTTCAGTTTTCTGCATGCTCCCCTCAATGTATTTAACTGTGTGTGTGTATATATCTATGTGTAACTTTCTGTCTATTGGGTTGATTTGACCTTTAAGCTCATGTTGTGTTACTGATGGTTCTTGATGTTGGTGATCTCTGTGAGTGAATATCTGAATGTGAGGGCAGTATGTGGTGGTTTCAGAGAGGGCTCTGTGCTCTTCCGGGGGCTCTAGTTATCTGGTCATCCGATACGTTCCTCATCTCTTATGCCACAGCGGTCGTGTTGGGCCATGCCGACATACTCATTCCATACATAAGGTACGTTTTTCAGTTTTATTTGTACTAGATGTCCATGCAGAGTCATGCATCATTTTAGGCTTTGAGAAACATTTTATGAAGAGAAACCTTGTTGCATGAATACTTATAATGTATAAGATGAAAAGAAATCATGCATTTTTTAGTGTAGTATCACTTTTAAGAGTTTGACGGCTGTAGATCAGAGACATTCTGTGAACTACCATCTGTATCTTTCAGCTTCAGTTGACTGCTTTGTTTTATTTCTGTCATCTGTCAAACTGTGCATTTATTATTTTGTTTGTAGTGACACAGGCACTGAGGTTTCTGAACGCTGTGTGTTTGGCTTCATGCTGTCAATCTCAGCTTTCTCAGGTAATGCTGTGCATCTTGTCCTTTTGAGTTCTGTATTCTGCCAAGGGGTTTTAGTTCAAAATCACTTGTTTATTTTAGTTTTTAAATGCATTTAAAAAGTCAACAAATGCAAAAACAAATGCTGTTTAGTGCATGACTTGGTTCTCTCACATTCATTTAAAGGGGTCATATGATGCGATTTCAAGTTTTCCTTTCTCTTTGGAGTGTTACAAGCTCTTGGTGCATAAAGAAGATCTGTAAAGTTGCAAAGACTAAAGTCTCAAATCCAAAGATATATTCTTTATAAAAGCTAAGAGTCAGCCACGCCTACCTAAAACGGCTCGTTCTAACACACCCCCACATATCTACGTCACTATGTGGAAATATTAGCATAATGCCGCCCAAATATGCACACAAAGAAAGAAGGCGTGGTTTCAGGAACAGCAGTAGTGTTGATGCAGCCATGTCAGGGAGACGGTGTGTGTTTCAGTGCGAAAGCAAAAGCACTTTATTTGGCCTTCCGGAAGTAGATGCAATTAGGAATCATTGGTTAAGATTTATTACAGAACAGCACAACCCAGATGTTCGAATTTGTGCAACGCATTTTATGGACAACAGTTTTTTGAACCTAGAAGAGTACAAAGCTGGCTGTGCACAAAGACTATTTCTAAAAAAAAAAAAAGGGTCAATTCCGACTTTGCTATGACAATCTGGCGCTTCTGAATCAGCGACTGCACATATGTTTTGTTATTAGTTTAAGTATTTGCTATTGACTGTTCAAATGCGGAGTTTTGCACAATGCAGAGTAACGCGTCGTGTGTGTGTGTGTGTGAGGGGAACAGGGTCACATCACAGGAGAGTGAACTGCCTGTCAGAAATCATAGCACGTCAGCTGTCTTAACCGCGGCTTGTGTACTGCATCATCACTGTGTCTGTCACGCGACTCTGTTGCCCTTTCGGGCTTGAACTGATGGTAAAACTAACGACATTATTAACTGTCTTGATATTTACTTTGAAAGCTGATGCTCACGATTATGGTAAGGGGCTTTACA